TATGCAAATAACATCTTTTGTATATATTGGCTTTGTAAAAAAAATTTAAATACAAAAACATCATTAAACGATAATATAGTTTTTTTTGGGGGCAATGAGATATGCAGCTCTACACAGATGAAATTTTGTTAATGAGATGTGACTAGGTTTTTTCTTGGGTTTAGTTGATGAGTTAACGGGTCTTGGGTTTAGAAAATTTTAGGCTATGATTGGGGAAATGCCCAAGTAGGTAGAGGAAAATTAATATATTGGATCGGTTTGGATTGGATCGATTTTCATCAACTAATCCGAAATCTGATCCAATCCAATTAAAATTTGCGGTTTTTTTTTGTTTTTGATTTTTCGGTTTTCGATTTTTCGGTTATCGGTTTTTTGGTTCGGTCACCGCGGTTTGAATTGGTTTGGATCAGTTGATGAACACCCCTAATTCATTGACATACGCTTATAACTCACCATCGTATTCATTGGCATACACTTATAATTGCTGAACAGGACGACAAAAACAAAACAACAAAAATAGGGTTTATCGTTTCTCAAGTCATTTGAGATAATCTTATTTTCGGTTATCTTAAAACTATGTCTTTTTAGATGTTAAGAGAATTAATAAAGGGTATTTTGGAGTATTAGGAGAATTAATGAAGGGTGTTTTGGTATTTTTATTTGTTTATTTATAGAAATTTTACCAAAACACCCTTCATGAATTCTCCTAACACCCAAAACGACGTATCACACACACACACACACACACACACACACACACACACACACACACACACATATATATATATATTCAATTTTTCAAAAGAATTATTTTACATGATACTTTTAATAAAGAAATTAAAAAGGAACCCACTTAATCCTCATTCTCGACAATATTCTTATTGCAACTTCCTCGCAAAAGGCTAGCATTGAGTGTTTAGTAAAATGCAAAGAATGATTGTAAATGAGACAAGACAAGATCACTCTAATACTATAATTGTTGGGAACTCGGCTCCCTCAACTCGGCATGGAAGCATTGTGAAAGTCAAACGTTGAGCTTGTAGCTCAGCAATTAGAGCTCGGCCTGAATAATCACCTATGCACAACAAAAACAAAAATGCAGGAGAGAGAAACAGAGAAACACAACAATCTTTTAACATGGAAAACCTACTCCAATGAAGAAGTAAAACCTGTGGGACACTAGTCCAGAATCAAACATCCACTATATGAATAATGGGTTATAAGAAATCAAATTTCACCAATAATAGTGGTACACTCAAACCTCACCTACAATGATGGTATTCACTCAAACTTTTCTAAGGAGATCTAACACTCAAGCTTCTCCCTAGAGGTGCTATCTAAATTTTCTCAAAGTGTCTCTCAAGCCAATATTGCCTTTAACCTTTTTCTAATGCTTATATAGGGAAGGAAGAAGGCTTAAGGTTTAGAATTTCTTAAACCCTTTAATAGGCTTTGGGCTTAGCATTTAGGAGGGATAACCCAACAAATCTCCTCATTCTGACTTCAATGCGTTGACTTCAGTAACAGCCCGACACCTTCATAGTAGTCTTCAAATTTTCTTACTGGTACCGACTTCATCATCATGTCGAACAAATTGAGGTCGGTGTGCACTTTGACGAGTTCGGGCTATCCATCTTCCACCATATTCTGGATCCAATGATACCTCACACTAATGTGTTTAGTGAGGGAATGATAGGTTGAATTCTTCGCAAGATGAATTGCACTTTGATTATCACACTTCAACTCGAATTTGTCTTGATCAAGGCCGAGTTTAGAGAGAAACTTCTTCATCCACATCATTTCTTTGCTTGCCTCAGTCGCGGCTATGTACTCGGCCTCAGTTGTCGAAAGTGCCATACACTTCTATAGTCTTGATTGCCAAGAAATAGCTCATCCTGCAAATGTCATTAAATATCCTGTCGTCAACTTTTTTAAGTCAAAATGTCCCCCTAAATCAGCATCTGTATAGCCTTGCAATTCGACTTTACCTCTCCAAAGCAAAGGCATAAACTCGTCGTTCTTCAGAGTTACTTGAAAATCCACTTCACTGCTTCCCAGTGTTCTTTGTCGGGGTTCGACATATACCAGCTCACTGTTCCAACAGTATACGCCAAGTCGAGTCTCATACAAACCATTGCATACATCAAACTTCTGATGACGGATTGGTATAGGAACTTCAACATCTCATCTTTGTATTTATCAGATCTCTAACATTGCTTATAGTTCAGCTTAATATGATCGGCTAAGGGGTTGCTCATTATTTTGGCTTTATCCATAATGAATCTTTTCAAGATCTCCTCAATGTATTTTTCTTGACTCAGCCACAGTAGCTTTTTTTGTCCAACTCGAATTATCTTGATTTCGAGAATCTGCTTTGTAGAGCTAAGGTCCTTCATCGTGTAGGACAGGCTTAACGCCTTCTTCAGGGAACTATTCTCGATTTGTCTTGCCCTACAATCAGCATGTCGTCAACATATAAAAGTAAGATCAAAAAATCTTCAGCCTCATACCTTTTGGCAAATACGCAGTGGTCGGCCTCCGTCTTCACAAACTTATGCTCAGTCATGAAGGACTCTATTTCTTATACCACTGTCGAGGTTCTTGCTTTAAGCCATCGGCATACCAAATCTTCTTGTCTTAGAGCTCGGAATCCTTCAGGTTACTTCATATAAATGTCTTCTTCAAGGTCTCCATGAAGGAATGTCGTCTTCACATCCATTTACTCTACTTCGAGCTCCATTGAAGCTGCCATGACAAACACGGTTCGGACTGAAGTAATCTTCACAATAGGAGAGAAAATCTCCTCAAAATTAACTTCTTTCTTTTGATTTCATCCTTGCACCATAATCTTGGCTTTGTATCTCGAATTCTGGCCATTTTCTTCATGTTTAATTTTGTAAACCCACTTATTCTTCAGAGCTCATCTTCCTTGAGGAAACCCGAACAGTTTATAAGTCTGATGCTTGTGTAGAGACTTCATCTTGTCCTGCATTTCTTTCTCCTATTCTTCCTTTTTTAAGCTCGTCATAGTCTCATCATAACTATGAGGTTCACCTTTTCAGCAACCACAATGTATTCATTAGGTGGGTACCTAGTAGAAGGTCGTCTCACTCTAGTAGAGTGTCTAGGCTATTCATCAGGCTGAGGATCTGGGTCATCATTCTCATCATCTCGGATCTCATTATCCCAGACCTCCGCATCTCGTTCCTCAGGTCCTCGATCTTCTATGCCTTGGTCATTCTCATTTTCTTTATTCTCTTAATTTTCTCCCACTGCTTTAGCTCGGACAGGAGGGTCGGGTTCTTCTCTTTGGACAACAACCCGGACTTTGGGCTCTGAGATGTCGTGAATAGTCTCATTCTCATGAAAGATCACATTTCGGCTTCATACTACCTTCATGTTGATTGGATCCTAAAGTCGGAACACGAACTCACTTCTCGACAAACCGAGGTAAATGCATTATTTTGTCTTTGCATCGAGCTTCGCCCTCTCATCTTTAGGGATATGCATGAAATCTCGGCATCCAATACCCTTAGGTGATCATAGACCGCTTTCCATCCTGTCCAAACTTCTTCAGGAATTTCTCCTTCAAATGGTTGTGATGGTGACATGTTGATCAAGTCAAATAGCAGTTCTGATGACTTCTCCCCAAAATGATTTCGGTAATCTGGCATTGGATAACATACTTCAGATCATCCCTTCAATAGTCTGGTTCATCCTTTTAGCAACTCCATTTAGCTTAGGAGTCTTGGGGGTGTCTTCTCAAGTCAGATCCTGGTCGCTCTACAGTAAGCATTAAACGGGTTGTAATACTCACCATCGTTGTCAGATCAAACCACCTTTAATTTCTTGCCAATCTCCCTTTCCACCATTGTGTGGAATTCTTTGTAGGATTGGAGTACCTGGTCTTTAGACTTCAACAATTATACCCATAATTTGCAAGAATGATCATCAATAAATGAAACAATATATTGAGTTCCACTAAGTGATCTCTCTGACATGGAGCAGACATCGATATGGACAAGGTCAAGTATATACCTGCATTGACTGAGTTGATCTGGTCTCACGAAATAAATCTGGTGTTGTTTTCCAGCTAGGAAGTGTGTGCAACTCTCCAGTATTTGGCTTTTCAACTCGGTCAATGTTTCTTTCTCGTTCAAAATTTGGAGCCCTTTCTCACTCTTGTGGCTAAGGCGCTTATGCCACAACTCCATGTTAGGTGCATCTCAGACAGAGTTAGCTTTGTCAACATTTATCTTTCCTTGCATCACTTACAAGGAGCCTTCCTTTTTACCTTGAGCCACTACCAAGTTTTCCTTGGCTAATTTTCATCTACATCCTTCAAAGTAATTCACTAACCCGACATCATCAAGCTTGCCTACCGAGATTAGGTTCAGTCGCATATCAGGAACATGCCTTACATCCTTCAGCACAAGTTGGCACCCCACTCTGTGGTCAAGGTCACATCACCGACACCAACAGTCTTGCTGGTCACCTGATTTCCCATCATCATGACTCCAAAATCGCCACTCTTGTAAGAGGTGAAAAAATCTTTGCGTGGAGTGACGTGAAATGAGGAACCAGAGTCAATAATCTAGGTGCAGTCTTCATATGCAATATTCAAAAAATTATCTTGAGCTAGGAGAAATACATCGACATCCGATTTGACAGCCACCATAGTGGTGCTCTTGTCTTCTTCCTTCTTTGGCACAATTTGATCCTGCTTCACAGTGTCGTTCTACTAATTTTTTTGTGGAGTCCTGCAACCAGTCTTCTTGTAACCAGGCTTCCTAAAATAGAAGCACTTCAATTCATATCTCGCCTTATCCTGGCTTGTAACTGGGTTTCTCATAATAAAAGCACTTCAATTTATATCTCAACCTCTAGACATATCTCATCTGTCACGACCCCGGCTCTTACTACGACCCCGAAAGTCAGACTTTCCTCTATTCTCAGCAACATTTGCCTTAGTTGTGCTAGTTACACCTCGTTCCTTTCACCTGGACTCTTCATTCAGGAGGCTGTCTGCCACGACATCCATCTTCAATTTTTCATCAGGAGTCGAGTTACTTAAAGTAACTAGTAGAGTATTCTTGCTTTCTGGCAGCGAGCTCAACAATAACAAATCTTGCATCTCATCATCTATCTCCATCTCGACTTTAGACGCTGATTCATAATACCTTTGTAGGTGTTGAGGTGCTTAATCATACTCATATCGTCATTGTATTCTAGCTTCACAAGTCGGCGAACCAAATGTGCTTTGTTCTTGGGAGTCTTCTTCTGAATCATGGACTCTATCTTCATCCACAACTTGTATGCATTTGTGAACTCGGACATATGCTCAAAAATGCTTTTGTCGATATATTTCATGATCGTGGCTACCGCTTTTCGCCTCAGGATCTCTCATTCCTTCTCAGTTTTTCCTTTAAACCTTTCTTTAAGGACGATGGGCTCATATAAGTCTTTGCAGTAAAGATGGTCTTCCATCATAGGTCTCTAGAATGTAAAGTTGTTCGTAGTCAGCTTAAACATGTCACCATCATGTGAAATTCCACGATTCTCCATCTTGTTTCCTTCATAACCCATCGAACTCGGGCTCTAATATCATTGTTGGAAACTCGGTTCCCTCAACTCGGCATGGAAGCATTGCGGAAGTCAAACATTGAGCTTGAAGCTTGGCAATCAAATCTCGGCCTGAATCACTAGGTCAACCTATGCATAGTAGAAAAAAAATGCAGAATGAGAGACAAATAAAGAAACACAACAATATTTTAACATGGGAAACCTTCTCCTATGAAAAAGTAAAACCCATTGGACAGTAGTCCAGAATCAAACGTCCACTATGTGAATAATGAGTTACAAGAAATCAAACTTCAGCAATAATGATGGTATACTCAAACCTCATCTACAATGGTGGTATTCACTTAAACTTCCCTAAGGAGGTCTAATACTTAAGCTTCTCTGTAGAGGTGCTCTTTAAATTTTCTCAAAGTCTCTCTTAAGCGAACCTTGCCTCCAACCCTTTTCTAATGCTTATATAAGGAAGGAAGAAGGTTTAAGGTTTAGGGTTTCTTAAACCCTTCAATGGGCTTTGGGCTTAGCATTGAGGAGGAGTAGCCCAACAATAATAACCCTAACCTGTGATGACATGACAAATCCGGATCTATGACGAGAAATCTGAAGGCTTCCATGCAAACAAGTTTGCGTTCTTTCTTAGTAATTCTCTTAACTTGCCAGCTACTTATACCTCTAACTTAGAACCCACTTTAGTAACCTGCTTGGGCAATAATCCAAGTTAAAACTCAACCATTGTCCCAATGGGTTCCAACCTTTCTCCTTTGCTTTCAACTCAGCAATCAAGCCCTACTAACATCAATTGAGATTCCTTACTTTCTTTCATTTCTATTTATCTTCCTTCTTCCTCATCTACTTTGATTTCTTTCGGCTTTCCTTCTTTCTCTACCTTGTTACCTTTTTTACTTTCTTGAGGAATCATCAAACTCATGTTATAACAACTTCGAGCTACGACTTGATCTACTTTCACTGTAGCTGTATTTCCATCCTTTGCCACAAACTTCATGGCTAACTGATCTATAGACAAAAATATCTTAAATTTTTTCATGAACGGCTTGCCCAAATTAACATTATAAGCAGACACAATATCCACTACTTCCAATGACAAGGTCACCGTCTTATGAGTAGGTGCCTTTCCTAATGTCCATCTCAAAGAAATATACCCCAATGGCTTAATCTTGTCCCCGGTAAATGCCAACAAATTTGCTCCACAAGGCTCCAACTGATCATGATCTAAATCCAATCGTCTAAATGCATCCCAAAAAATAATATCCATAGAACTTCCTGGATCCACTAATTATATCCTTAGAATAATCCTTTATCTCAGATTCCCTGATTAGGGTTAGTCAGATACTTGTTACTGCCTCAGCAGTACAAACTATTAGGTCAAAACTCACTTTCTCATAATACCCACAATATGGGTGTCAATCTTTACGGAATTGAATTCTAAACTCATCTATGATACTGATATTAATAGAGTAACTCTTTAACTCAGATTCACCTAGTTAGGGTTATTCTACTATCTATTGTTGCATCAGCAGTCAAAATTAACAGGCAGAAATCCACCTATTTAAAATACCAACAATATGGATATCAAAATTCATATAATCTCTTCCTTATCTCATCAATGACCTTTAGGTCCTCATAATAAACCTCTAATTTTGAATTATCCAAATTAGGGTTATTATAGCGTGCATAATGATAGCGACTAAACTCCGGCTGATTCTCTTAGCAAGCATCTGGATGCCCGTAAAAGTCATATCTATCCCCTTCCTGCTGAGCTTGATGATACTCATAATCCCTTCTTTCTTGATAATGCTCGGTCCTATCTGACTCGCGAGTGTATTCAACATATACTCGTTCTTGATTTCTCCGGGTAACTTCTCGACCTCTACTTCTGTTATATGGCCTTCTTGGTTGACTCCTTGACTCCCCCGAATGATGATGATTGTTTTCTTGATGTAAACCCTCTGGCCTCTGAGGATGAGACAGAGGAATGTAACTAGGAGCAGGAGATCGCGAACCTTTTCTCAGATTTTCCTCCTTATGCTTATTGTGATGTCTTCTGCTAACTGAATCAATGCATGTCCAATAGTATTTAAAGAACGACTCCTAGCACTAGATCAGAAAGAGTTTTCCTCATCCTCTTCCAAGAGAAAACCATTTTCAATTCTTCTTTCTTGATCGTTATTACTAGCTATTAACAATGGTGGGAATAAACTTTACAGTTCACACAGACGACGCTAAATGTTCGGTATAAACATTATAGGTTAGGTTGGTTTGATAGTGATTATGAGTGATTTGAACTTAATCCATTCATCTTAATCTTCCTCTTTATATATGTTATATTAACGGTTATTATTAGTGGATAGGGGGCAATTATCAACTTAGCAGTTATAACGATCGTGGTTTGTCATTGTATAAGTGGAGAGAAACATGGATTATGGCCACAATCTGGGCTTCCGGGTATACTAGCTCAGGATCCAGCGGGTTATCTTATCCGAGTATTAACACATGGGCTTCTCAGTTATGCATAAGTAGGCTCATCCGAGTTACAAACCCGGAACACCTCTGATTGCTAAGGATTGTTGAATAACAACCTAAATGAATATTAACAAACATTCCAACAGAACTACTAATTTATAATTGCCTAACTATCTAACTCTTTTCTTCCCAATTTTCGTATCATCGTGATTCCTGACCGCTCGACAATATCTTGATTTTCAGCAAAAATCATTTTAGTTGTAACAACTCGATAATTCAAAGTGCCAAAACCTAATGAATCTTATTAAAAGAAAATCACATTTTCAATTTTTTTAAACTTAGAAATATGTTAAGAACGCCATAGTTTTGAGTTTTCTATTACATCGGGGGATCATCGAAGCTAAAATTTTCCTATCAAGCCAAAATATAAATTTTGCAACTTAGGCCTTGTAATTATAATAATATACTTATTTTTGTTTAAATTGATTTTAAATAAATTTACTTAATAATAATGTTGCAGTACATTTTTAATAACACACTTATTTTGTTTAATCCATTTTCTTATAATACACCGATTTTTGATTAAATTGATATTAAACAAATTCACTTAATAATAATGTTGCAGTACATTTTCTAATTTCAAAAAAGGAGAAATTCTATACAATTTATTTTTTTATCCACTTTTTGCAGTACTTGTCCTAATGACAAAGAAGGAGAAATTATACATAATTATTTTTTGCTTAATCCACTTTCTAATACATTTTTTTTAAATTGATATTAAGTAAATTTGCTTAATAATAATAATGCAGCAATACACTTTTTAATAACAAAGAAGGAAAAAATCTTGCTGACTGACTGCCCCTAATTTTCAAAAAATTATAATTTTGTTCTTTCTTCCCAAACTATATACTAATCTGTCTCTATTTTACCTAGTTGACCAATACTTAATCGTATAAGTAACCCACTTACTAGAGTAATTGAGCATAAACTATGCCAAATTACATATTCTTCATGATCATTCTATTTAGCTTTTTCAGTTATTGTCACATACTTCATCCATTTTGGGATTCAAATGCCTACTTTGTGACAAGTTTAGTAAGTTTTATATAATCTTCTATACATTGAAATAATAAGTCACCAATATTTGTTATTGTTGGACAATGATAAACAAGAATATGAATTAAATAACATTATACATAGAAATAAAATATGCCAAACGAGCATAAGTCTTCAAAAACAACAACATGAACATAAATTTAGTTTAGTAAATTCCTTTGTCATTCCCAAAACCCTAAAAGGAAGCATTTAAAAAAAAATTGATCAAATCTCCTCTGGGCAATTGAGCCAAAAGTTATGCACTTTCAAAGTATATACTATTTTAGTGTATAAAGAGCTTGATTTTAGATAGAGATTGTCCTCAATTATTTTGGATTGGCAAACCCATATATGAAGTCCAATTATTATGTGTGTGCATGATATAATAAGTTAGATTAATAAAAAAATAAACCAAATTTAACAAGTTATATTTTTTTTTGGTATAATCTGGAGGGTATCCCCATTCAATCTCTTCCGGTCACCTTGTCTTCGGAGTACGGCCCGAAGGCCATCCCCTCATTGGAACAACGGGTGCATTGAGCATCTCTATCGGAGGAAGGATGAGATTAATCTCCCATTCGAGGAGAGAAGCACGTCCTCATGCTCCCAAAGACTTTTCAAGAATTTGCTTGAGACAGGGTTTGAACCCCTGACCCAAACAAATCCTTTGAAGCTCAGTTGCCAACTAAGCTACCCTTGGGGATTACAAGTTATATTTTAAATCAATATGTTTTGCCACTTTGAATTGAATGATGATTGCCCTCAACTGTAAAGGACTTACAAAAATCAATTCCAAGTCCATTTATATATGCACAAGACATTAGAACATGATTTGAATAAAAAATGTCTGTGGATCCAAATTTGGGTTGCTCGCTACTTTGGTTTACTTAGAGTAAATGACTTACTCAAGTAATCGACCTTATTTACTCGAGTAAGTCATTTATTGAGTAGCTAACCAAATAGATTACTTAAGTAACTGTCGGTTAAACATTGTCAAAT